GGCTGTTCTGCAGTCTAAGGAGGAAAAAAATTAAGAAACGGCTTTTAACTGTGGAACAGTTAATGCAGGTATTGACCGACGGCATTTCCTTCCATTTCTGAATTGCACACAAAAAATGCTCTTCAAAACACGAACGACTGCCACAACCTCCCCGTTGCTTCCCTCTTTCTAAAACAGGAGCATCACTCAATTGCACAACTCTTTGGGGAAAACATGGGAATCTGGACCAAGTCATCCTCTTGTCTACAGAAATGGGGAACATCCTCAAGGAGAACATCCCCAGGGAACTAAAGGAAGCATCACCAACGGATTACAACTCGGTGCATGCACTCATGGCCTTCAGGAAAGCTGTAAAAACCTGGCGGTTCCGGCAGGCCTGGGGCTGTTGAACTTAGTGATAAGGTCCAGCCCCGATTAGAACGTATGTGTGTTGTGAATTTTAAACTATTTTTTTTACTTATTTTGCTTTTCTTTTCTTTTGTCTTCTTTCATTGTAAACTGCCCGGAGTCCTCCGGGATTGGGCAGCCTATAAATTTAATAAATGAAATGAAATGATGCGCCTGTTTGATACGTATTAAGTCACTCAGAGGAACTCTACATAAAAACCTTGAAAAGGTTCCAGGAGTATTCAGGGAGTTTTTTTTAAAGAGCAAACACCTCTGTATAGCCCTATGCTACAGACTGACTTCTTTTAATTCATTTGGTGTCTCTAAGCCTGTGCCTTCTCCTTGTCCCAGGGACCACGGAGGGAGCTGCCTTCCAGAGCAGGGGTCTCTGCTTTTCCTTGGAGAAACAGCCAGGTGTAAACACAAGGGAGGCAGGCACATGCCACCGATGGGCGCAAGGGCCTCCTTTCTTGCTTGTGACGGCAAACAGGTGTCGCCCCCTTGCCCCTTGGGACGGGGTCTGCAAGGAGGAGAAGCTTCTGGCAATCAAGCCAGGAGGGAAAGACAAAAAGCTGAAGCTTTAATCAGAACCCATGAAGTAACTTCTGCGGCTGGCCAAAAGGCGATTACCCAAGGAAAGCCACAGGATGATTCATGCACATTATTACATCAAGAGGGGTTTAGAAATCTTTGTTATGAAAGGTGGTAGCTGCTCTTTGTCACACTTTCAACCGAACTGACGGTCCAAAGATGACGCTTGTTGTGCTGTCACCACCACCCTCCTCTCTCCCTCGTTTTGCCCTGACAGGGGAACAGTGGGGACAGGAGGCCTCTGTGACCTGCTTCTCCCTCCCTCCCTCACACAACATAAGCGATAATGACGTTAATATGGTCATGCAGGTTTGCTTCTGTGACTCCATAGAGAGACTCCAGCGCTGGCATTATTTCAGAAGGACGCCCCAAGGCAGCCACCTCGAGCAAAGGAAGGGACCCCTCACCTTCTCCTGGTTGACGAAGGAATAGACGTAGAGAGGCAGGAAGAGGCTGTTCAGCAAGTGGTCCGTCAAGACATCGTTTAAGAATTCACAGTTGATAATCAGGATGTCGTTCAGGTAATGGAGGTGATCCAGGTGCTCGGCTACCAGGTCACTCAGCTTGCCCCGATTTCTGTGCCTGCAAAAAAAGAGAGCAGACTAAATATGCAGTCACTACCCCCCCCCCATTGCCTCCCCCCCAAGAAAGGACTCCGGGTGAACAAGAAAGGCTTACTCCTCGTCTGTTTGGACGCAGTTGTCCAGCTCGATCACGTGGCTGCCGATGAACCAGACAAGGTTGGAGAAGTAAGGGACGGCCGTCTTGTCTCGAATGTAGTGCAGCATCGGCTGGTTGTCCACTGAAGGCAAACAGGCTGTTATCATTGTTGACACTTTTTCTCCCCCAATGCTTTAAGGACGTACCCCTTCCTCTAACTCGCTTTCGGCAGCGTGGGCCAAAATCAATTCTATTTCTAGGGCAGCTTTTGGGAAAGGTCAACATCCCCTTTAAGAGATTAATCTAATAATAAAGCGGCTGGACTCTGCGGTCGCCGAGAACGGCCCGCTTGCAATCTAGGGAACCGGGCAGCAGCACCAGGCGGGAAAATCCACCAGCAGACTTACATGACACTGTTTTAAGGGAGACGGGATGCGCCAGTGAAGAGAGGACGAGGGGAGACAAGAAAGACAACGTGGTTAACAGGGTTAACAGGAGCTCCAAAGAGGTCAGTGGTTAAAACAGCAGGGCATCTAGGCTGGAAGAGAGCAGTTAGAAACAAGCAGGCAGCCCACGGAAGCCCCTGTCCCAAGGCCAGCCACCAGGGGGTGCCCTCCCCTCAACTGCACCTCCCAGGGCAGGGACTGCTCAGTAGGATCGCAATTTTATTTACTTATATCCAGCCTTTATTATTTTTTTATAAGTAACTAAGACTCTGACAATTTTTTTTTATCGCTCACAGACGGTCTCACAGCTGTGAACAGAAGAAATTCTGTCTATGCCTGACTACCTGGAAGTGGCCCAAGTCAAAACTACGTGTTTTTTTTAAATGAGGGATGGGCAAATCCGATGGGCCTCCCTCTCCTCTCTTGCTGGATTCCATAGATTCTGGGCGCCAGCTTTACATGGACAAGAAAAGCAGCCCAGAATCTACCCCTACCTGAAAAACTTCTTCTACCTCTAATGTCTGGATTCCTAGGGCAAAATGAAGAGGCACATGGCCTCTATTTCTTTGCAATGGGAAACATCTGGCTGAGTTCTAGGTTGCAGCTGACATTTCCTTCACTGATGAAAAAGAGTGTGCATGCATGAGAGAGAGAGGGGGGGGGAGGGGAGAGAGAAAGGGGTCAAAAGTTCTAATAAATATTTCAGGAAGCGGCTCTGGGTCCTGACCAAGCAACTTTCACTTTCACATTCTCAAGAAAGATCCTTCCTGAAGTGCAAAAGCCAAGAGCGCCCTCCAGGGGACATTCCCGGAGTATCCGCCTGCTTCTATCGCTTCCTCCTGGCTGAGATGACAGCAGCGCTGGCTTAAAACGCTGGTTCTGAGAAGAGGCTCACGAGGTCCACTAGGTCAAATTGGGGTCTGCCTCACTCTCACCCGATGAATCTGGGAACGCCGGACGCCCCGGCTCCTTCCTCCCAAGGGTTAGTGCTGAACCCCCCCAGGAAGACACTCACCCTTGTAGACGTTTAACGTGATGGTTCTCGCTGCAATCCTGACCATGCTCTCTGGGTGGTTGAAGAATTTGATGGCCTCCGTGTACAAGGCAAAATCGTTGGTATGCTGCGGAAGAAGGCAGTAAAGAAGAGGCGCTATGCGCTTTGGGCATTTTTATTCTGCCCTTTCAGACTCTGGACTGTGAAGGCGCCACCTGGGGCCTTGGTCAGTACAGGAGGCTTCCCTCGGCCCCTGCTGTGCCACACAAGTGTTGGCACAGAATGTTAAAGCCTGGTCCCTCAGGCTGCCTCCCCCCAGATGCTCTCAGCTACAACTCCAGCAGATACCCCTATTTTCTTTTTAAAATATTTACAGATTTTGAAATAAATTAGGATGCGCAGTCATGTCTGAGGTACACATTTGGCAACAATATATACATA